ACTATACGATAATAATATTGATAACAACTTTGTAAGTTACTTTTGGACAATACGTCTGCTTGGGTAAGCTAACAAAGAAAAAAACGAACAAACACGAAAGTTTTCGACAAAATGAAAACCTTAAGTTATGGGTGAGAAATTAGAACGTGCATTCCAGAGAGAAGAATCGTTTTTCTTGTAAAGAAAATAACGGAAAATTCAGGACTGAGGTTAATCAGGCGGTGAACCAAACGAAAGAGCCGTTTTGGAATGTATTGGCACTGGCGTTCGGAGAACAATACCAAAGCTTGAGTTGAAGTGCTGTTTATTTAAGGGCCTTGTTAGTAAGAAAACAAGGATTTTTGAAACGGATATCAATTAAAACATTACGTTTTGGCAAGTGAAACATTTAATGTGAAAACATTACATTCAAAATCTATTTCAGTGTCAAAATTTTGCAGAGTTATGACGATATAAGAGACGTCAGGTCACATCAGTCGGTGTAATTATTTGCGAAGGGCGGCAATCGTCAACTTAAAGATGATAGCAAAATATAACTTACGTAAGAAGGAAAAAACATGAAAAAGGTAATAAATATAGTTAACTAACGACAGAGAAGGTCAACCCAAGCCTATAAAACTTTAAAGCAAATTGCGGAAGAAAAAACCGTGAATTAGCTCTTTAAAGTAAGGTATATTTACTTGAGATAAAAAAGCAGGGTATGTTCAGAATAGAGAAAAAACAGTACATATAGCGTGCTGCCGGCTTCTCGAACATACTTCGGATACATGAATGGTCTGATTCCGTGTTGAAATTCGGCGTGCTTGAGCTATGACAGGAAATTGTGAGTGATTTTATTGATGTGTAAAACCACTGACTACCTTTTAATGAACACTTTAAACAAAATCTTACTACGTTAACTCGGACGGAATGACACAAAAGAGGCCATACGAAAGCAAGAGGGAACAAGGATGGCTGAGAACTGAGAACATTTAAAACCAATTTGAGCTGACAAAATTGGTATTTTCAGGCTTAATTTTCAGCATGAATAAAATGGACGTGTATGCCACGGTTGCATGGGATACTGTAAGTTCCGGTTCTTTAGATTGGAAAGAAATTTACTCGAGTGAAGCAAAGTCGCAGAAATTTCAAGCCAAGCACGGTCGATGAAAGCGAGGTCGTTTGCTCAACACTTGTTGAGTGGATGTCAATATTTCTTTCATGTTGCATAACCAAATGTTGACGACTGAACTTAACTAACTCCATGCCCGCCATCAATATGGAAATAAATTTACTGGAGTAGAGCTACGAAAATTCCGCCCGTAGCAGAATTAATTACAGATGGTTTGGAAAGCTGTACATGAATATTAAACTAATACACAGCTTTTTTTTCCATTGTAAAGTACAACTATACAAATAAATCATTTCGCTGTATCTTAAGGTCTAAGGAGAGCAATTTAATCGATTTAAGTCGCAGAAATTTAGGTCGAAACCGCATCCGAAAGCAAGGTCATTTAATTATGAAGCTCTTACAAACCAAACGTCATTAGTCATCATACGATATTTATTTTAGAAGCAAGAAAGCTGAAATAATCGAGTATATTCCTGTGCAGTATCTGAAATTTGGCACAAATCCATATCGTCAGTTACTCATATCGAATCTCCCTTGAAGACTAGAATCGACATAAATTTCTTGTTTGTCATAGTTCTTCGGTAGTGCACAGTCAGTGGGAATTTAACTGTAATAAAGGCTATGACAAAAGAGCAAATTGTATACCATTCACCCGAGAGCTGTCGGCCTCTTTCTTTGAGTAAACACAAGGTAAACGGCAGCACAGAAATCGAGAAAAAAAAACAGTTTCATTGGAATCGAGCCAAACACAATATATTATATATTATATTTTATTAGCCCCAAAGTGACACGTATTGCATTGATATCTTGTATCTTACCTTTTAGATAATCAAGAAATTTTTAGTCTGTTTACAAAACATTACGCAATTGGAGGGGGAAAACCTCACGGTTAGCAATGAGGAATAACTTAGCCAACAAAAATCTAACTTACCTGGGCAGGAGTAAATAAATTAATATACGTTGGATTACCTAGAAAAGCTCTTAAACGGAACATTACTTATATTCCAAGTAGATTCCAATTACGTCGTTATCTCACTAGATGGTTTTTATTTTTCATTATCCTGATGAAATGCTAATCGTCATTACTAAAGGCAACAAAACAGGGTCAAAATAGTTTTGTTTGTTTTCAGTCTCGTAAAAGTTGAGAAACCTGGCACTTATAGCAGCGTTTTGTAGTTAGACAGATCAATATTTGTAGGCGAGCATACTCGACATAAATGATGGAAGACGGTTGAAAATGGACAAATGGGAGATTAACACCTTTAATATTCCCTTCGATCTGAGAGAGGATGGATGTAACTTAGGAGAGAACTAGTTTTTCCCCCTCGCCTTCATGAAAATACGCGCAATTGCTAAAGCAGTAGATAGCGTTGAAGGTGCACTTTGATTAGCAACTCAGACTCCGAGTATCCTTTGCTTTACACCTCCGAGCAACGGCCGCAGGATTTACACCCGAAAATACTGTTATCGCTGCAGGAATAAATGAGTTAAAGTTATCTCTTTTGTGCTATATGATCTCACTGTCTCAGTAAGCGGCTCGGAAATTATCCACCTCTACATATTTCAACTTCGGAAACAGTAGTTAATTATTTCAACAGACACAAAACACATTTGAAAAAATCGATATGACGTGAAAGGTATAAAGGCAGTTAAGTTAAACGCCGAATAAATTGGGACAGTGTAAGGTTTTTTACTTGTTTGTTGGTCATGTGATGACGAAAGTGAACAAATGTATTCCTTAATTTGACAAGGATACCAAAACTCTATTGAAACTTTGATTTATTTTAGTTAGGATCCATATAACAACTGGCCGCTAATTTCTGTGTCCGGTTTAGCAAGCTTCTGGAACTGGTTAGTCCAAAACATGAAGAATTCATAAATCTCAGATTTTAAAACACAAATCGTGTTTGCTTTTGGTTCCTGAGAAATCATGACCAGTGTGCGTTTTTGCCCGCAATTATTTAGGACTCCGAGGACTGAGCGAAATGTTCAGAAACAATCATATCCTAAGGTAATACACAATTACAAAACTTACCCTTAATATCCAAAACTCTATTGTTTTGAATGTAAAAAACATGCGTGGATACGAATGGGATGCTCAAATGTGTGTTGTCAACCTTAAAAATAAGTCCAACACTGGCTTAAGTAAATTTCAGTTGACTACTCCGTTCCACAGGCCTTGAAAGCTGATATTAAACTATAACCTTGAAACGAGATTACAGAAACTTTTTCCACTGAAAGAGGTTAAAGGAAACTTTGCAAAAATTTACTTACCAGTAGAGCGTATAACAAGAAGAATTAAAGAAAACAACTCAAAAAATGAGAGGCACAGCAGCGAATACATCATAGTGAGCGCGAAACTGCTCGGAACTGCTCTGTCGTATAAATCTGATACACTTTGTTCCTTAATCGCTGTTATGTAATCATTGATCACCATGGGTACTCGAGGAAAAAAAACTATACGATAATAATATTGATAACAACTTTGTAAGTTATTTTTGGACAATACTTCTGCTTGGGTGAGCAAAAGAAGAAAAAACAAACAAACACGAAAGTTTTAACCGAAATGAAAACCTTAACTTATGGGTGAGACATTAGAACGTGCATTCCAGAGAGAAGAATCGTTTCTTTCATAGAGGAAATAGGAAATTGTGAGTGACTTTTTGATGTGTAAAACCACTGACTTCCTTTTTAATGAACACTTTGAAAAAAATCTTACTACGGACGGACGGTATGACACAAAAGAGGCCATACGAAAGCAAGAGGGAACAAAGATGGCTGAGAACTGAGGGCATTTGAAACCAATCTGAGTTGACAAAGTCGGGAATTTCAGGCTTAATTTTCAGCGTGAATAAAACGAACGTGGATGCCACGGTTGCATGGGGTACTGTAGGTTCCGGTTCTCTAGAATGGAAAGAAATTCACTCGCAGAAATTTCAAGCGCAGCAGGGTCGATGAAAGCGAGGTCCTTTGATCGCCACTTGTCGGGTGGATGTCAATATTTCTTTCATGTTGCATAACCATATGTTGACGAAACCCTAAAACTAAATCTCTGCCCGCCATTAATATGGAAAGAGATTTACTGGAGTAGAGCTAAGAAAATTCCGCCCGTAGCAGAATTCATTGTAAAAGGTTTGGAAAGCTGTGCATGAATATTTAACTAATACACAGCTTTTTTTCCGATTGTAAAGTACAACTATACAAAGACATCATTTCGCTGTATCTTAAGGTCTAAGGAGAGCAATTTTTGTCTCGAGATTTCTATCGAGCGATGGTTGAAAAAGTAGAACCGGCCCCAATCAACCATTGCGCATATTAAAAATAGCGAATAATTAATTGTTTTAGTACAAGCCTTCTCATTGTACAAAACTAAACAAAATGACAAGTCAATTTTTTTGTTATATTTTGTTTACAACCAAACACTGTCGGGCTACACACACGCTATTACGGATTAAATATCGAGTAGCGCAGCCAATCAGATCGCAGTATTTGAGAACGCAAGTAGATTTCTACTAACTGAATATAGAAGCCTATCGAATAATGGCTCTTTCGCTAACACTAAGAAATTACACCCACGTATTGTATCCTATATCAAAAACCTTACCTGCACGTGATTAGACGGTAACGTTATATCAGAGAGGGGAAAAAACAAAAACCAAAACCACACAAGGCGCCATCCTATTTTTAAAACGTTTACTTCATTTAATATTTTGTTACGAGTCAGTTTAAGCAATAGCTGAGAAGTTCTTGTGAGACAGAGTATTTTTTATGCAAATGAGATTTTTCATGACTGGAGAAATAACTTTGCAATATCCGAACAAGGTACGTATATTGGTCATTGAATTAAAAACAGAAGCAAAATGGAAAGTGGTGTGAGGAGCGAAAAGGAACTTTCGAAAGCAATCGCCGCATTATTGACCCTTCTGTCTATCGATGTCTATCAACTAACATGGACTAAGAGGGATCAGAACTCTCCAGACCGTTTCTAACAACATAATAAAATCATCAGTACAACAAAGAATTTTTCGCTAACGTAAGAAAAATGTCACTGAAGTGGAACGGTCTCCCACGGGATCTCCTTTGTTACCCTAAAAATATCGTATTTATTGGCCCAGAGACTTTTGTGCTATCTACAAATGTGAGCTACAAATGAGGTTGAGCTCAAGCGCCCAGCATAGGCAAATTGTAGTGATCTGCCTCTCATTAAAGTGATTCTTATGTAGGGCTCAATTAAAGGTTCAATCATGGAGAATATTTTGATCAAAATCGTTCAATCGTTAAAAAATTCGTTGATAATTTTGAAGCTGGAAAGAAGCGATTCTAAAGAATAAATTCAAAATGTGGTTTTATTGGCACCTCGAAAAAAACAATATCTTAGCAGAATGGAAAAATGTGTTAACTAAGAGTGAAAAATGGTTATCTAACGGAGGACACAGTCCCACAAATGACCAAGAAATTCTACCTTTTAGTACCCGATGCCTCATCGTTTTCATTTTACTAAGTTTTCTGAGGACTCTTAATGTCCAGAATGATGCAAGCTTAGCTCTTAAACCTACGTAGTTTTCCATAACTTGCAAATCAAAAGTTTTTCGTTGCAAAGTGATAATATATCAACAAGGAGAACTGAAAACAAATGCTATTATTTACTTTAACAAATAGTGTATTTGTCGGACATTATAGAATCCATCCTGACACTCTTCACAAAAAAATTTGACATAAGCTACGCTTATCCAACAAGTCTCACTTCCTCTAAGGTTGATGTTTTCGAGCTTGATCTGTGTTCCGTCTGGACATTTGAAGGAGGTCGAACTGTCGATCTTAATCGTACTGCTTTTCGTCGCAGCAAAGATTGGATGGAATTCTTGATTAACGTCTGCTATAAACGACGAATTTTGAATCGTTAACGGACCAGCGCTCTCGGATCTAAGAAAACAACCAGCAGCTGACACGCGGGAATGATCTATCAAACTTGTTTCTTTACGCAGGAAGCTACAATTATTGATGTTCAGAATGCCGAAACCGGTCTTCATATATACATGACCTCCCAAAGCCACTCCCTTGTTGTTTTTAAATGCGCAGTTATTGATAGTGACGTTGCCATTCAAAAAGCTCAATGCTCCAGCGATGCCCACGTTGTTTTCAAATAAAGTATCTTCAATCATAACCGGTAGCTCCGACTTTTTGTCCCAGACCAGTTCCTTACTTTCGTTTCCTTTTGTTGCACGTGGACATTTCGGCGGATCGTCGTTCGGAAATTCAATTTGGATAGTTCCTCGTTCATATAGTCGATTCACAAACTGGGTGTTGTCGAAAAATCTGCAATTTTTCACCGAGATGAGCCCTAGTACGTTTTTTTCTGTACTAACAGACAGCGCACAGTCATGTAACCCATGGAAAGTGACGTTTTCAAGAAGTAGTTTTGCTTTTAAATTTGGCGACAAATATACTGTTTCTTTGCCTGGTTTCAAGACCGCACGGGTATAGTTCTGTTTAGGGAAACTCATTCCAAATCTGATTGCATCACCAGTGCCTAATGTTTCATTACCTCCCAGTATAAGACTGTTTTTTACAACCAGCGTTTGGTCGCCCGTTGAACAATACCTATCCGTATTATCTAAGCAAGTAGTCTTTGACATTCTTATGCCAATCCGGTTGTTCACTAGGACGCACTTTTCAAGGAAAACCCTAACACCAGGTGCTTTAATTAATGTTTTAGGGGGAGCACTGGCCATGATAGCATGCCCATAGGTGGAAGTAACCGTCACGTGAGTCAAATTAAGGCCAAACCCGCCATGGACAAAGACAGAATTTTCGTTGTTAAGAAACGACGTGTTAAACAATGATATATTCCCATCGCCAAAGAGGTTGTCAACTCTTACTAATACAGCGAAGCTGTTGTCTTTATGGCCGAGCTCTTGGAAAATAGAGTCAGTGATTGAGACAAATACATGAATTGGATACGTTATAATTGAATTAGCTTGTGAACGGATTATCACGGCACCTGTTAAATTTCTATCAAAAGATGTCACATTAAAACGTCCCTTCGCGCCCTCGAAGAAGCATCTTAATATGGTCGTCTCAACGATACTGTTAGGTAACTTGACAGCTATAGATTTTGCATTGTATCGGAATTCGCCATCAGTGGCTACAAGACTACACTTTTCAGGAATGACGAAATCTATTTGATTCCATAAGATACCAACGGCTGCCTTATGGAAGTTGAAAAACCTGCATTTGGTGATGACGATATCATAGGAGGACACATTGGCGAGGACTAAACCATACGTGCCATTGCCGAACATAAGGTTTGACAGGAAAACCTCAGCAAAACTATTCCTGAACCTTGGACCAAATTCTATGCCATATGAAGTATTGCGAAATTCGCTATCAGCAACTTCGAGTAAAGATCTCTCACGAATGCGTGAAAAATTCCTTTCCCATTGCATAAAAACGGCCTTCTGGCAATTGATAAACTTGCATTTGGAAATGACAACATCATAAAAGGGCACATCGGAGAAAACTAATCCATACCTAGTATTGTTGAATACTAGGTTTGAGAAGGAACCATACTTGAACCTCGGCGCAAATATTAAGCCACATGAAATATGTGCCGGGGAGGACACACCTTGTATTGATACACTTTTTTCTATAGTTTTGAATTCAGTTCCATTAGGACTATCCGTTTTCAAACATTCGTGGATTTGACTCACTATCTTTTCCGTTGAGGCAAATTTTGCCACCATCATTGATCAGGAGTAGCGCTTGTGGTAATGTTCGACAGGGCACAGCAAAGGAACCACACTGAGGCGAGTCTTCACCGCCAAGATGGGATACGTAGATACATTCATTGGTTTGTTCTTCACCACTTGAAGATAACGAAAGTTTCTCATAACAACTTAGAATTCAATTGTAAAACGATTCAAGAATGCTGAAATATTCGAGTATATTCCTGCGCAGTATCTGAAATTTGGTACACTTTCAAATCGTGTCACTCATATAGAATCTTCTCTGAAGACTAGAATCGACTTGAATGTCTTGTTTGTGAAGGTTATTCGGAAGTGCACAGTCAGTGGGAATCTAACTGTAAAAAAGCTATAACCAAAAAAACGAAATGTACAATATTCACCCGATAACTGTCGGCTTCGTTCTTTAAGTAAAGACAAGGTAAATGGCAGCACGGAAACCGAGAAAAAAATTTTCATCGGATTCAAGCCAAACACGATATTATATATTATATTTTATTAGCCTCAAAGAGACACGTATTGCATTGATATCTTGTATCTTATCTTTTAGATGATCTAGGGATTTTTAGTCTGTTTACCCAACATTACGTAATTGGAGGGGGAAAATCCCACGGTTAGCAATGAGGAATAACTTAGCCAACAAAAATTTAATTTACTTCGGCAGGAGTAAAATAATACGTTGAATAACCTGGGAAAGCTCTTTATCGGAACATTACTTATTTTCCAAAGTAGATTCCAATTACATCGTCATCTCACCAGATGGTTTTTATATTTAATTATCCTGATGAAATGCTAATCGTCATTACTGAAGGCAACAAAACGAGGTCGAAATAGTTCGAACGCCGAATAAATTGGGACAGTGTTAGGTTTTTTACTAGCTTGTTGGTCGTGAGATGACGAAAGTGAACAAATTTATTCCTTAATTTGATAAGGATATCAAAACTCTATTGAAACTTTGATATATTTTAGTAAGGATAAATATAACATCTGGCCGAAAGTTTCTGTGTCCGGTTTAGCAAGCTTCTGGAACTGGTTTGTGCTTACCAAAACATGAAGAATTCATAAATCTCAGATTTCAAAAGACGAATCGTGTTTGTGTTTGGTTACTGAGAAATCATGACCAGCGTGTGTTTTTAACCGCAATGATTTAGGATTCCGAGGACTGAGAGAAGTGTTCAGAAACAATCATATCTTAAGGTAATACACACTTACAAAACTTAACCTTTATATCCAAAACTCTATTGTTTCGAATGGAAAAAACATGCGTGGAAACGAATGGGATGATCAAATGTGTGTTGTCATTCTTAAAAATAAGTCCAAAGTTGGCTTAAGTAAATTTCAGTCGACTACTCCGTTCCACAGGCCTGGAAAGCTGATATTAAACTATAACCTTGAAACGAGATTACAGCAACTTTTTCCAATGAAAGAGGTTAAAGGAAACTTTGCAAAAATTTACTTACCAGTAGAGCGTATAACAAGAAGAATTAAAGAAAATAACTCAGAAAATGAGAGGCACAGCAGCGAATACATCATAGTGAGCGCGAAACTGCTCGGAACTGCTCTGTCGTATAAATCTGATACACTTTGTTCCTTAACCGCTGCTATATATTCATTGATCACCATGGGTACTGATGTAAAAAAAACTAAACGATAATAATATTGATAACAACTTTGTAAGTTATTTTTGGACAATACTTCTGCTTGGGTGAGCAAAAAAAGGAAAAAACAAAGAAACACGAAAGTTTTCGGCAAAATGAAAACCTTAACTTATGGGTGAGATATTAGAACGTGCATTCCAGAGAGAAGAATTGTTTTTTCATAAAGGAAATAAAGAAAAATTTAGGACTGAGGTTAATCAGGCGGTGAACCAAACGAAAGAGCCGTTTTGGAATGTATTGACACTGCAGTTCGGAGAGCAATGCCAAAGCTTGAGTTGGAGTGTTGTTTATTTGAGGGCCTTGTCAGTAAGGAAACAAGGATTTTTGAAATGGATATCAATCAAAACATTAAGTTTGGCACGGGAAACATTTAATGTGAAAACTTTACATTCAAAATCTATTTCAGTGTCAAAATTTTGCAGAGTCATGACAATATTAGAGGCATCACGTCACATCAGTCGGTGTAATTATTTGCGAAGGGCGGCAATCGTCAACTTAAAGATGATAACAAAATATAAGTTACGTAAGAAGGAAAAAACGTAAAAAAGGTAACAAATATTGTTAACTAACGACGGAGGAGGTCAACCCAAGCCTGTAAATTTTTAAGGCAAATTGCGGAGGAAAAGACCGTGAATTAGCTCTTTAAAAGTATGGTATTTTTACTTGAGATAAAAAAGCACGGTATCTTTCAGAATAAATAAAGCTTCAAACAGTACATATAGCGTGCTGCCGGCTTCTCGAATGTACTTCGGATACATGCAACGAAGAATGTTCTGCTTCCATGTTCAAATTTGGCGTGCTTGAGCTATGACAGGAAATTTTGAGTGATTTTT